GAAACTTCCTGACGACCCACAAAACTTGATTCACACTTGTCCGCAAGGACAGTTACTCATGTACAGTGTCTATCCTGAGTGTAAAACAGGGGGTCCACTTCAACCATTTCTTCATGGCAGAGAGAAGACATAGGTTGAAATATGCCAACATTTCGATTGTTGTCTTCAATAGGAGCCCGACGTCGTCTAGCAATAAGCACCTCATGACAATCCGTCATCAACTGAATCATGAGCCCGCATTTAAAGTGTTATTGCCCAACAAAACCTTGATAATGTTAGCAATTTGTGGGGCGTTGTTACTTAAGGCCCATCAACCTGTGCTATGTGCACAGAAAATTTTGAGGCAATCAATTTGTTTACCTTGGCCTTGAATGTGAAATTCTGATTAGGGTTGCTTGCTTTTCTATGTATATAATCGTTTGCCTGTTTCTGCCCGTATTAGGTTTGTGACTGAAGAGAATAATCGAAATGTTGACAAGTCTCAAACTCTCTGCCTTGACGAAATATCCTGAATGTTTCAAGCAAAGAACAAGCTAGAGTACAAACTTGCTAATAGCCTTCGTCAAGTAAAGCATGACCTCCCCCCAAGTTGCACAATAGACTACAGTGCGCAAAGAGCCGACGAAACGTCCAAGACACTGCGGCTACAATGCGGCTGTCATTCGAGCGTACAGCCTTTTCCTACCACAACATCATCCACTGCACCAACTCCAAGATTTGCACGTATAATATTCAGTGCATGGAATGTGAAAAAGGTTGATTTATTGCGCACTCACACCTCTCCGAATGCTGGCAGCATTCGCAATAGAGGCACTGGAGATAGCGGCTGCTAATCTGGTCGCGCCTCTTTCACGGTTCTTACATCGTTACTTGCATTGAAACAAATCCCGATTTGTGGAATCAAAGCGTTTCCAACCCAGTTTTTAAAGGTAGAAGCTGTTCATATTCTGCACCTTATCTCACAAGGATTTGCTTCCCTGTGCTATCTATGATGATGGAAGCAATCATCGCTGATGCCTTGGTGGACTACCATACAAATTACGTCTTGGTAACGGTGCTACATGACCATCGCCAACACCGGTCATGCACCACCAATCTGCCGATAGCATGAGGTTGCTGGACGGAAGCGGCCGATGTTGGGGCTGTGGTCAGTGTCAACTACCTGGACTTGCATAAGCTTTTAAACCCCATGGATCACGGCATCCTTTTTTACAGGCAATAAGCCTCTGGAATCGGGGTCCTGTCATCCGTTTCATTAGTAACTTCCTTCAACACGGACGCTTCAGCTGCGAGTTAGGGATCACTCTCCAAGCAGACTAAAGTGAAATGTGGTGTTTCACTGGATTCAGTGTTTGAATCGCGATTATTCCTGGTACTTATTTTTCACCATGCGAGAGTTATCGCCCTGAAGCGTCTGTTCCCGTCGACCATGTCAATATATGAAGAGGGATTGCTAGCAATGACGCTCCCGGTTTCCATCTAGGAGATCTGGATGCCGTTAATTAATACTTGATGAGACCTCCACTGCAGTTTAACATGGCTTAGTTTAAGGTGGTTCAAGTATGTCTTCAGCCGGAGCGCATGTACAGACTTGAAGAATATAACTTTAAAAAAGCCACTCGTAAGTGCAACCTTGAGAAACTGGTCCACGACTATTTCGGTTGCTCGAAACAATCCGAGAAGGTGTCGAGGACTAGTGATCAACAAGTCGTCTTTGCACGCTGTACGTTCGGTCAATATGACCTTCTAATCTTTTAAACGAAGATAGAAGTCCATATTAAGCTACACATTGAAACGCTTCTCTTACATCGTGTAATCGAAGAAACCACATAAAAGAACTTGAAGCCGAATGACTCATCGACACCACGGCTGTACGGGTTAGTAAAGACTCACAATGGATGCACGCTTCCATGACTCATTCTATCGGTGATAAATTCCTCTCAGCACAAATTGGCTCGCTGGTTAGTGTGGATTTTTGCATCAACGACGCGGTATCTCAAACTGCACTGCATTAAGGACTCTTTCGAAATAAATAACGATATGAACCAAATCCGTCTAACCCAGAAAGTGATGTGCTCACTGGTTGTAAAGTCTTGATTTGATAATGTTCCTTTACTTGAGAGAGTTGTTCCATTTGTCGACTGATAGATGAGAAGAATTTCCGTTTACCCATACCTGCAGTCTTGCTAAGACAGTCCATATTGCTTTGCACTGAACATGTCGCTTTCCGATTTGAGCACACTTCAAATCGCCAAGTCGATAGAGTGGCTATAGGTGGTCCGTTGGGCCCTGCACTAGCCTACTTTTCATGCTAACGCTTGAAAGGGAATGAAACGGAACGATTTTTCATCCGCTTTATCACAAGCGATATGTAGATGTAACTCACATTTTTGTTTCCTCGAGGATGCAAAGGATACGACTAGTAGACTAACAGTAGTGTTCATGTCAACCTGAAAGTGCTCCGTGAATTCTAGTCGAGTGGACCTCTGCAATACATTGACATTCTCATCAGCTGCAGGGATATTGTGCTCATTAATCGATCTGTATAACGGAAGCCATTGTGATCCGGCCAATATCTGCACTTCCCCAGGTACTAACCGATGGCAAAATATTGGGTGATTTTGAAAAGATTTTTTAATCCTGCTACACGTATCAGCCCGGACGATCGGCTTAGGAACTTGAGCTCATTACCAAAACCCTCATGGAGAATGCTTACCCAAAGGGATTCGTTGAAAGCACAACTAGATTTGCCCGTCCAAACAAAAGATATCGGTCCTAAAAGAAAAGCTATATGTCGGGTTACCATTCAGTTCTAACGCTGCTGCAAAAAGAACAACTAAACGGCTAGTCTATACCATTCAGGGCAGGTTCGCTGCTGCGCAGGTACTTAACAACATAACCTGAAAGTTGTTATTTTCAGTAAACTACTATGAATTCATCGGTACCAAATCGCACTGCGTTTGCTAATTTGTGTGTAAATGTACAGTCAGTTACACTGCAGAACCGGCAGAGCTTTTTCTTCGTGAGTGCTGGAACACATACAAAAATACGTTTTGAGCAAAGTTGATCAACTCCTCTCCGACGATACGTGCTCGCGCAACTCGACCGCGTCATCCATACTCAGTCACACTTTAGGGAACCGTTGTCAGAATAATCCTTTATCGGCGTTGCAAATATTGCTGCGTCATTCCAATTCATACTTTTGCGATTAATGAAACTGGTACGATAAATCAAAAACCTGCTTTATTTCTTATTCTTCTTCTTCTTACTTTATACGCCCAAAAGTAACTAGTTGTCAACCTGCGGTTGCTGCTGTCCTGACGCAAACACGACTAACCGCAACCGTGATAGTACTAGGCCTGATTCTACCCAGACACCCATGTAGATATTTTCCATTTATTGTATTTGTACTAATGAGACAACACAGAAATTTAGCATCTATCAAAGCACGTCTTTTCATTGCGCTATTCGAATTACTGAAGACCATTGGCTGTTCTAAACTTCTCACAAATGCTTAACGTGCATGTGCGATTGCCTGTGAACTGCGTTATTTAGGCGTGACATACGTAGTAGAAGCAGTATCAAGCTGCATTCGATACTCCTCAATGGAGAACAACCAAGAACTTCGAGGGCCTCTAACATTTGTTCCCAGGAGTGTACATCGACCTTGGATGGCCGTTTTCGGAGGGGAGGAGGAGGACCCATAATAGTTTACCGATACCTAAGGAATCGAGAGCACATTGCCACTCGCTGCTGAAACTGAACCGTAACACCAACCTGAGAGATAATCATTCGATTTCGATCATGTAGTGTAGCTGGCTGGAGTATCATCGCAATTTTTGCTTGTCTCGAGTGTGCCTATTGTGGGACCCTCTTCCGTGCATGTGGTCAGTACAGCAGTCTAACGGTATTTAATCAACGACTTAACGATGCATTTTGCTTCGTGCATTTCATTCTAACTTGTATTAGCCAGGAGGGTAAAAACACAACCCGAAGGTGTATGCCAAAAATTTAACCAGGTGGATTTATACTTATTATCATGTGAAGATCTAGATGAGTTCAATCAAGCAATTTTATTGACACCATCTTCGTTAATTTACTAGTTTTATCTCCACCATCCTACGGGATCTGTATAGCCTTAAGTTTCTGCCCGCTCTTCACTCGTATCGTTGTCAACCCAATTTTAGGCTACAGTTGATGGCTTCATCCTGGGCACAATTATGTGGGCGACGACCATACCCAGTTGTCCAACGAACTAAGATATGTGGCTGCACAATTATGGTGGTCCAGCAAATTAATTTTCTTCCAAATGTAACGTCAAAGTCAAGTGGCCCATGGTAACCGGCTCAGTTGAGAATGTTAGGCGATGCATGCAAAGAAAAATGTCCGCTTCACGCAACGAACCGGTCAGCAGATATTTGGTGATGTTTATGAACCAGCAGGACGATAGGTGTGGGATTATCCACTTTCAATCCCTAAACTTGTCTTTTATACCTCTTTGGGGAGGTTGAAGCAGCAACCCCAGTAGTACACTAACTGAGCAGCAAGTTAGCCACCCGATTCAAATAACGAAAAACGGCCACTGCCAGTGTACAACCTTGATGTTAAGCATCAAAATAACTGTATTTGCAGCAGGAAGTTTAGTAAGGAGCGATTTCATTAGGTATGGGAATCCTGTGGGATAAATACGACTTTCGTCCAGCTGGACAACACTCGCGACCGAGTTGTTTCGTGATTCAAACTACATCCCACCGTTTGCGCTTCTCAAATCGACTACAGTAGCGCATATGCCGTCACGGGGAATGGCTCACCTGTCCACCAACTCGCCACACATTTCACACGAGGTTGATTCACTGCAGATGGGTAATATAGATTTTTCAATAACATAGAAGCCAATCGATCAGACTGATTGATTTACACCTCTTCTAACTGTTTGATCAATCATAGAGTGGGATCGGTGAACTCGGAAAGTACCACGCGTGTGTGGACACTCAGGATTCATGTTTTCCCAGCAGTATCTTGCGACGCCTCTAAACACTTCGATACAGAGTGCGACTGCAGCCGAAACTTTTCAGACCACTGTAAGTTTGTTGAGACCATCAATGAAGTTACTGGTTCCTTTTCAGACTGCGTTGGCGGAAATACTGGTTGATTCGATGTCAGTGGTCGACCTACTGGCGGCACACCAGATATGTGCGTATCTGGGAGGTCGAATCGCGATGAAGTTGGCAGAAAAGGCTCAAGTATTTGGAACAACGCAGTCACAAGCTGATGAGAGACGAACCCCTTCTTCAGGCACTCAAACCAAAGTGAGTGAACACACGGTTTTCAGTTCCCACATCTCATTAAGCTTGTCGTTCATCACTATCATATCTCAAATAACTGCAGTTGTATATCTCAAGAGGTTGAGGTGCGATTCATTAAGTTGTTTGAGTGCGCGCTATAACCATCATTGGAATCGAACACACTTTCATTCCCGCATGCAAATAGTATACTCGGTCCAGTGTGTAGGGATGACAAAGTGATTCCAAAAGATGGACCAAGCACATAGCTCTTATAATCTAGCACATTGTACCAGAAAGCTGATCACCTTACACAGTCAAATGAATTAGGTTCCACTCCAGGAGCGATTCCCGTCATCAAGCAAGTAAACAATTATGTGAAAATGTTGAATCTTTTAAGTTGATTGTTATGCTTAAAATATGGAAAGTATGTGACTTCATAAGAAGGTCGAACTGGGGCTTTGACGATAACCTGGAGTTCCCCGCAGTTTATCTCGGAGGTGTGAAGTAAAATCCTCCGAAGGTGCAAACTGCTAGACTGCAATGATAAAGTCAACAGCTGTCTTGTAGTGCTCGGAGTTCGTCAGTTATGCACTCCACAAGGGACAGGTTGCGTTTCCATCCAGCTCCATGTACGAATGTAGGGAAAATGGAAAGCAGCCCGTACGTGCCTGGCGAAATACTTTGACTGCTAGCCAGCCATGAGAAATGTTACCTAAGTTGTGTGTGGGAACTGATTGAAGATTTCATCTTATACTAGTTCGTGGAGCCAATGATGTACATGAAAGACTTCCACGATGCTTTGCGGTTTAACCTGGTTAACACTGGGGCAGCATGTTAGATGAAAAGTTGAACATTCTGTGACCTCAGTCGGCAATTATACGTCTAACGTACATTTCTTACTCTTGATTTGCCGGAAAAATGAATAATCTTGTAAAAACTTGAACTTGGAGAACCAAATATCAAAATGTAAAGCCCTCCACAATAAATACATGTATAGCTAGAGGTAAGTGGTTTCCAACAGCAAAACTTCTGTTAAATTATCTTCGTCTTTGGCTCACGTAATAAATCCCAAGTCAAAAATGAGTTGTGGGACATTTGGCATATCGGGCAACATGAACTGTGCTCTTATGACAATTTCTTCTCCACATCATCTGCTACTACCTTCAGTGGTTCGGGGATACTTAGGTCCGTTTTGACAACCGAAGATTGCTTTCCGGCTTGGAAACGAGCAACATGAAAACGCATCGATAATGTGTATAGTGAGAATAATGCTGCCCCCAAAGAAGTTCTATTTAGTTCGTAACCTTGAGGTATAGGTTTTCTTTTAGCTCATACCAAGGGACAGTTTTTACACTTTGTCTTTGCGAATTACCAGGTGGAACAATTTTAGCATTTGTCATGTGCAACCCGGCAAATTTGTGACCGTACGGATCGAAGTGATAGCGACTAAGTTCGAAACAATTGATTGTCCCTACGGAAACTGTACGTCACTTTGGAGAAAGCATAAATTTCAAACTTGAAAACGCATGAGAACTAGGTCAAACGTAACTTATTTGGCTGGAGTGTCCAGCAATATTACAGACAATTTTTACACGCCAAACCAGAATGCGATAGCATTGCTTAATGTAGTGATCAGTCTAAACCCCACACCCTAACATACAAGTTATGTGGGCAGCATTCACTATCATAATTTATTCTTACTCGCCTTAGCCGTGCTCACACAAAGCAGGTAGTTTCGTTTGATCCAAACTTTATATAGAAATGAACCCTTTCTCTTCGGATGTTTCACTGTGACCCATATGCTTATTATGAACATGATTCCATCAGAAGCGAACTAAGACAGTGCCGAAGAACCGGTTTTATGATAGGGGTATTTCTTGCAAGAAGGCCCACCGTGTGTTGCACCTCTGTGGGCACCACGCTTCAGATAGCAGCGTTCACATTAATCACCTAGGTATACCGCTAATTATATGATAATTGCATGAACGAGCAAGTAGCTACACTCTTTATTGTACACAGAATGACTCAAAACGATTTAAGTCATTGGTCGTAATGAATAGCAGAAAGTATTTTTAGCAGTATTGTCAATCTTAATTCTAAGAGGGAGCAGTGGACAAGGTGTGTGAAATTTAGTTCGGGTTGAAAGCGTCAGTGATTTAGGAGGTCGAAAGTTATCAAAAGCTTTGTGGCTACACACGCCAGCTGACCGAAGAAGTATGTGCGAATCTAGGGTGGAGCACTGGCGTTTGGATTCGTCATGAACAATGAAGAATGAGTTAACAAGAGGAAAAAGCATGTGCTTGACAAGTCCCGTAGGATGGTTGGAGTAAAAAGTAAAATTGGAAAGACCATCGAATAAGCAAATCGTTATTTTAAGCGTCTACTGATCTAAATGCATTACTGCATGACGATAGTTTGAAGTGGGAGTGGGATGTACACACAAAAAATAGGATAGAGAGCTGTTATAGTCCAGTAAATGCGTGAAAAGGAAAACATGAAACGACAACGCCCACTCGTGTGTAGCTTTAGTTGACAGATATGGTATGTTAATTCAGTTTAAATCCATTCGGGCTACACACATGGACACTTCTGCATGTATCCTCACCGCCACGTTGCGGAGAGGGCCGTTGATCGCATGGTTAGGTATGCGTTATTTCGTCCTCCAAGTGGAACGGACTGTATTAAGTAATGCAAGTTGGAAAACGTTTCATCAAGGCCTTTTTTGAATAGCGTTAATGCAGGGGCAAAGATAACGTGATTCGGAAGGACATTCAGGGCACGAGACACACGGAGGTTGAAAACGTTTCGTCGACAATCAAGTCGACTGTAGTGCATAGCATGTTTGAGCTGATGGCCTCTCAGGTTGACATTTTGGCTCAGCTACAACGGATTGCTACATGGGTGAGTTGTATTCGTCAGCATTAAGTGAACCATGATTAGGTCTCCTCTCGGAAGTCGATATTCACCACTCTACAATCTCAGGGACTGCAGTCTGCGCTAGTGGGAGAGGTAAAACAAACCTCTAACGTGTTTGGTCACTCCAGGTTGTGGAGCTTCAATTGCATTGATGTCGCGCTTGCGCCAGAAAGGCCAGGCCTGGATCGCATATTCAACGTGGGGCTTCACGTAGGCGTTCAGCAGTGGGGAAAAGACTGATGACACAAAATTCCCGAAAGCCCTCCGTAAGGGTACAAGATGTTGACTGGCTCTTTATGATGATATTTCAGCCTGTCTCGAGAAGCCAAGATCGTACTGTACGATCACCCTGAGGTCGTTTTCATGAGAATCCTGTTGTAATTGCTAGTTCCCAATTCGATATTCATAGGTAAGGTGATGCCGTAAACTTACGAGTTTGCACATCGCCACGTTCAATTAGTGCCGCTTGTCGGATGACCAGCATAAGCCCTGTGGAGATCGCTCTGCAATGCCATGTGATAATCCGATGCCCTGATATCATGCCGAATTTCGATATCATCTGCAAATAGTAAGAAATTCGGCAGCAATACACTGCCAAGCTCGTTAATGCATGTGAGGAATAAACGTGGCCTCAATACCGATCCTTGAGGCACGCCACACTGGACGTCAATTGGGTCGGAAATGGAGCTGGGAACTCTCACATTCAGCTGACCTCGAGCGAGAAAGATGCCGATCCAACCGAGTATAGGGTCACCGATCTCATAGCTTCGAAGCTTGTGAAGGGGAATGCGGTGGTCCAAACGATGGAACGCTTTTGAGTAGTCCAGGTAGACCACGTCAACTCCTACTCAGGCACCGGCTGGCACTGTCCAGCTTGCTCGGACTGGCAGCAAGTTTGTAGTGCAGGATCGAGTTCGTTGGAACCCGTGTTGCTGTGATATTAGCATGTTGTCGCTCTCTAGATATCTCATGAGCGCCTTTGCCATTAGTCCTTACAGTACTTTGGATAAAATTGGGAGGAGAGTGATTGGACGGTAGTTTGAGGGCTCCGAACGATTACCACTTTTGTAAATAGGAGTGACTACTCCATGTTTCCACATTATGGGAACATGCATTTCGTCGAGACAACCTTGAGGGAACCGAGCAAATGGTTCGGCAAAGTTCATAGCCGTTGTCTTCAAGTCCTTCGGTTTGATGTCGTCCACTCCAAATGAGCTGTGCGCGCGATGACATTAGCGTTTTCATCCAGTGGCTGCCGTGAACGATATGTGGTTTGACCCTGGTGGCGAAGGAAGCGGTGTCAACAGCGGATGAAATGATGGTTCACTCCGGAAAGTATGAATGAAGTATTGACGATACACGCTGGCTGCATCTTGTGTGGTTTGCGCAAGACCATCTGTTGTACGTAAAACCGGGATGCCGCTCTGTACTCTGCAGAGCTTGTTGTCCTGTTTATGCAGTAAGTTGGGATTTGTACTAGATTTCGCCGCTAAGTTCTGTTGTTGCTGGAGTTGTCTTTGCGGATCAACTTGACGCAGTAGTATCCTTGAGTTGGGTAAGCACCCCAGGTCAGGTTACTTGGACAGACTTTGTAAGCGCGTCATGCTGAATCTCTTAAAGCCATACATTTTCTTGTATGGCTCCTCAGGAATGAATTCACTTGCGTCGGTCGAAAAACCTTGCTTTCTGACGCATTGGCCACTAGTTCAGTGAATTGAACGACAAACGCCATCCAGGCGACATAGGGCGGCTTCTGGGCCAGGAAGTCCCAGTCGGTTTCTTGTAGGACATAGACTTGCATGTTGTTCTCACTGACCTACTCCGAGTAACAGATGTAACGAAAGAGTAACAGCGCGTGGTCGCTACGGTCAATTGATGCATCTGTGGTCACTCCTTTGTCAACCCTTAGTTCCTCGTTGAAGAGAACAAGTTCCAAAACAGTGGGTGTGTCACCCATTCGAAGTTGCGTGGTAGAGATGGCATGGTTGCACAGAGGTACATCGGCAATCACCTCTTGCAAATCAGTCTTGAATTTTTCATTGTGCGATGGTGGAACTTCGATTGCGTGCAGGTTGTAGTCCCCCACCAGAAGAACATGACTGTATGGT